CAGTAGTCGTGAGGTAAATAGGAGCGTAGATTTACTTTGACTACGGTGTGGTAAATCAGGTTCTCTTCGTTGGCGAGGGAATCGAACCGGGTCAGCTGCTTGGAAGACAGCTATGCTCACCACTATACCGCCAACGCTTGATGTTTTCTAGTTCCACCGACACCACAAGCCATACGGTCACATTTTCAGACGAGCTTCCTGATCTCTCAAGAACAGTCGCCTAGTCTCAGTACACATTTCGCTGTACAAACAGTACAAACTGTGCAAGCACAATGTTTGTTGGAATAAGATGAAAAAAATCTATTGCAGAAATTTTAACTTGACTTGGGCACTTCCCAAAAATTAGGTTCTTCCAAACTGATACGGTTCAGATTTTTGAGAGCCGTGCTTAAAATGACCGTTATTGTACAAGAAATAAATTCAAACCAAAAAACCCCAAATAATTGAGAAATTCCGCCAGTCATTCCTATCTGATCTATGTAGAGCATGATCCAGCACAAAATGTTGCTGATTCATCAACAAGAGCAGTAACAGTCATTGAGAATGTTAAATAGGAACGTAAAATTTGCTGACTACAGTGTCGTAAAATTAGGTTCTCTTGCGTTGGCCGGGAATCGAACCCGGGTCAACTGCTTGGAAGGCAGCTATGCTCACCACTATACCACCAACGCTTGATTTTTTCGAGTTCCACCGACACCACAAGCCATACGGTTACATTTTCAGACGAGCTTCCTGATCTCTCAAGAACAGTCGCCTTGTCACAGTACACATTTCACTGTACAAACAGTACAAACTGTGCAAGCACACTGTTTGTTGGAATAAGATGAAAAAAATCTATTGCAGAAATTTTAATTGACTTGGGCACTTCCCAAAAATTAGGTTCTTCCAAACTGATACGGTTCAGATTTTTGAGAGCCGTGCTTAAAATGACCGTTATTGTACAAGAAATAAATTCAAAACAAAAAACCCCAAATAATTGAGAAATTCCGCCAGTCATTCCTATCTGATCTATGTAGAGCATGATCCAGCACAAAATGTTGCTGATTCATCAACAAGAGCAGTAACAGTCATTGAGAATGTTAAATAGGAACGTAAAATTTGCTGACTACAGTGTCGTAAAATCAGGTTCTCTTGCGTTGGCCGGGAATCGAACCCGGGTCAACTGCTTGGAAGGCAGCTATGCTCACCACTATACCACCAACACTTGATGTTTTCTAGTTCCACCGACACCACAAGCCATACGGTCACATTTTCAGACGAGCTTCCTGATCTCTCAAGAACAGTCGCCTAGTCTCAGTACACATTTCGCTGTACTTTGCAAGCGCACTGTTTGTTGGAATAGATGAAAAAAGTCTATTCCTGCAGAAATTTTTAACTTGACTTGCGGGCACTTCCCAAAAGTGCTCTTCAAACTGATCACGGTTCAGATTTTTGAAACCCGTGCCAAAATGACCCGTTATTGTGTACAGAAATAAATTCAAATAAAAACCCCAAATAATTGAAATTCCGCCAGTCATTTCTATGATCTATGCTTAGGGCATGATCCAGCACAAATGTTGCTGATTCATCAGCAAAGGCAGTAGCAGTCATTGAGAATGTTAAATAGGGCGTAAAATTTTAGGCTACAGTGTAATAGGTAAAATCAGGTTCTCTCTTGCGTTGGCCGGGAATCGAACCCGGGTCAACTGCTTGGAAGACAGCTATGCTCACCACTATACCACCAACGCTTGATGTTTTCTAGTTCCACCGACACCACAAGCCATAGGGTCACATTTTCAGACGAGCTTCCTGATCTCTCAAGAACAGTCGCCTAGTCTCAGTACACATTTCGCTGTACTTTGCAAGCACACTGTTTGTTGGAATAAGATGAAAAAAATCTATTGCAGAAATTTTAACTTGACTTGGGCACTTCCCAAAAATTAGGTTCTTCCAAACTGATACGGTTCAGATTTTTGAGAGCCGTGATTAAAATGACCGTTATTGTACAAGAAATAAATTCAAAACAAAAAACCCCAAATAATTGAGAAATTCCACCAGTCATTCCTAGCTGATCTATGTAGAGCATGATCCAGCACAAAATGTTGCTGATTCATCAACTAGAGCAGTAACAGTCATTGAGAATGTTAAATAGGAACGTAAAATTTGCTGACTACAGTGTCGAAAAATCAGGTTCTCTTGCGTTGGCCGGGAATCGAACCCGGGTCAACTGCTTGGAAGGCAGCTATGCTCACCACTATACCACCAACCCTTGATGTTTTCTAGTTCCACCGACACCACAAGCCATACGGTCACATTTTCAGACGAGCTTCCTGATCTCTCAAGAACAGTCGCCTAGTCTCAGGCCGGGAATCGAACCCGGGTCAACTGCTTGGAAGGCAGCTATGCTCACCACTATACCACCAACGCTACAAACAGTACGAACTGTGCAAGCACACTGTTTGTTGGAATAAGATGAAAAAAATCTATTGCAGAAATTTTAACTTGACTTGGGCACTTCCCAAAAATTAGGTTCTTCCAAACTGATACGGTTCAGATTTTTGAGAGCTGTGCTTAAAATGACCGTTATTGTACAAGAAATAAATTCAAAACAAAAAACCCCAAATAATTGAGAAATTCCACCAGTCATTCCTATCTGATCTATGTAGAGCATGATCCAGCACAAAATGTTGCTGATTCATCAACAAGAGCAGTAACAGTCATTGAGAATGTTAAATAGGAACATAAAATTTGCTGACTACAGTGTCGTAAAATCAGGTTCTCTTGCGTTGGCCGGGAATCGAACGCGGGTCAACTGCTCGGAAGTCAGCTATGCTCACCACTATACCACCAACGCTTGATGTTTTCTAGTTCCACCGACACCACAAGACATACGGTCACATTTTCAGACGAGCTTCCTGATCTCTCAAGAACAGTCGCCTAGTCTCAGTACACATTTCGCTGTACTTTGCAAGCACACTGTTTGTTGGAATAAGATGAAAAAAATCTATTGCATAAATTTTAACTTGACTTGGGCACTTCCCAAAAATTAGGTTCTTCCAAACTGATACGGTTCAGATTTTTGAGAGCCGTGCTTAAAATGACCAAGTATTGTGGCCACAAGAAATAAATTCAAACAAAACCCCAAATAATTGAGAATTTAGCCGGCCTATCTGATCTGCAGAGTACGATCCATGTCAAAATGTTGCTGATTCATCAATGCTATAGCAACAGCCACGAGAATGCTAAATAGAACGTGAAAATTGCCGACTAAGCAAGTTCTAAATCAGGTTCTCTGCGCTATCGGAATCAAAACGCCATAAAACAGTACAAACTGTGCAAGCAATAATTGTTTGTTGAAATTAAGCCGAAAGTATTGTACAGCCTGAACTTGACTTGGGCACTTCCCAAAAATTATGTTCTTCCAAACTGATACGGTTCAGATTTTTGAGAGCCGTGCTTAAAATGACCGTTATTGTACAAGAAATAAATTCAAAACAAAAAACCCCAAATAATTGAGAAATTCCGCCAGTCATTCCTATCTGATCTATGGGCACATGTAGAGCATGATCATGATCCAGCACAAAATGTTGCTGATTCATCAACAAGAGCAGTAACAGTCATTGAGAATGTTAAATAGGAACGTAAAATTTGCTGACTACAGTGTCGTAAAATAAGGTTCTCTTGCGTTGGCCGGGAATCGAACCCGGGTCAACTGCTTGGAAGGCAGCTATGCTCACCACTATACCACCAACGCTACAAACAGTACAAACTGTGCAAGCACACTGTTTGTTGGAATAAGATGAAAAAAATCTATTGCAGAAATTTTAACTTGACTTGGTCACTTCCCAAAAATTAGGTTCTTCCAAACTGATACGGTTCAGATTTTTGAGAGCCGTGCTTAAAATGACCGTTATTGTACAAGAAATAAATTCAAAACAAAAAACCCCAAATAATTGAGAAATTCCGCCAGTCATTCCTATCTGATCTATGTAGATCATGATCCAGCACAAAATGTTGCTGATTCATCAACAAGAGCAGTAACAGTCATTGAGAATGTTAAATAGGAACGTAAAATTTGCTGACTACAGTGTCGTAAAATAAGGTTCTCTTGCGTTGGCGAGGTCAGCGCTACAAACAGTACAAACTGTGCAAGCACACTGTTTGTTGGAATGAGATGAAAAAAATCTATTGCAGAAATTTTAACTTGACTTGGGCACTTCCCAAAAATTAGGTTCTTCCAAACTGATACGGTTCAGATTTTTGAGAGCCGTGCTTAAAATGACCGTTATTGTACAAGAAATAAATTCAAAACAAAAAACCCCAAATAATTGAGAAATTCCGCCAGACATTCCTATCTGATCTATGTAGAGCATGATCCAGCACAAAATGTTGCTGATTCATCAACAAGAGCAGTAACAGTCATTGAGAATGTTAAATAGGAACGTAAAATTTGCTGACTACAGTGTCGTAAAATCAGGTTCTAATTGCGTTGGCCGGGAATCGAACCCGGGTCAACTGCTTGGAAGGCAGCTATGCTCACCACTATACCACCAACGCTTGATATTTTCTAGTTCCACCGACACCACAAGCCATACGGTCACATTTTCAGACGAGCTTCCTGATCTCTCAAGAACAGTCGCCTAGTCTCAGTACACATTTCGCTGTACAAACAGTACAAACTGTGCAAGCACACTGTTTGTTGGAATAAGATGAAAAAAATCTATTGCAGAAATTTTAACTTCACTTGGGCACTTCCCAAAAATTAGGTTTCTTTAGGCTGATGCGGTTCAGATTTTTGAGGCAGGTACTTAAAATAGTACGTTATTGTACAAGAAATAAATTCAAAACAAAAACCCCAAATAATTTAGAAATTCCATGATCATTTCCTATCTGATCTATGTAGAGGCATGATCCAGCACAAAATATTTGCTGATTCATCAACAAGAGCAGTAACAGTCATTGAGAATGTTAAATAGGAACGTAAAATTTGCTGACTACAGTGTCGTAAAATCAGGTTTTCTTGCGTTGGCCGGGAATCGAACGCGGGTCAACTGCTCGGAAGTCAGCTATGCTCACCACTTATACCACCAACGCTTGATGTTTTCTAGTTCCACCGACACCACAAGACATACGGTCACATTTTCAGACGAGCTTCCTGATCTCTCAAGAACAGTCGCCTAGTCTCAGTACACATTTCGCTGTACTTTGCAAGCACACTGTTTGTTGGAATAAGATGAAAAAAATCTATTGCAGAAATTTTAACTTGACTTGGGCACTTCCCAAAAATTAGGTTCTTCCAAACTGATACGGTTCAGATTTTTGAGAGCCGTGCTTAAAATGACCGTTATTGTACAAGAAATAAATTCAAAACAAAAAACCCCAAATAATTAAGAAATTCCGCCAGTCATTCCTATCTGATCTATGTAGAGCATGATCCAGCACAAAATGTTGCTGATTCATCAACAAGAGCAGTAACATTCATTGAGAATGTTAAATAGGAACGTAAAATTTGCTGACTACAGTGTCGTAAAATTAGGTTCTCTTGCGTTAGCCGGGAATCGAAGCCGGGTCAACTGCTTGGAAGGCAGCTATGCTCACCACTATACCACCAACGCTTGATGTTTTCTAGTTCCACCGACACCACAAGCCATACAGTCACATTTTCAGACGAGCTTCCTGATCTCTCAAGAACAGTCGCCTAGTCTCAGTACACATTTCGCTGTACAAACAGTACAAACAGTACAAACTGTGCAAGCACACTGTTTGTTGGAATAAGATGAAAAAATCTATTGCAGAAATTTTAACTTGACTTGGGCACTTCCCAAAAATTAGGTTCTTCCAAACTGATACGGTTCAGATTTTTGAGAGCCGTGCTTAAAATGACCGTTATTGTACAAGAAATTAATTCAAAACAAAAAACCCCAAATAATTGAGAAATTCCGCCAGTCATTCCTATCTGATCTATGTAGCGCATGATCCAGCACAAAATGTTGCTGATTCATCAACAAGAGCAGTAACAGTCATTGAGAATGTTAAATAAGAACGTAAAATTTGCTGACTACAGTGTCGTAAAACCAGGTTCTCTTGCGTTGGCCGGGAATCGAACGCGGGTCAACTGCTCGGAAGTCAGCTATGCTCACCACTATACCACCAACGCTTGATGTTTTCTAGTTCCACCGACACCACAAGACATACGGTCACATTTTCAGACGAGCTTCCTGATCTCTCAAGAACAGTCGCCTAGTCTCAGTACACATTTCGCTGTACAAACAGTACAAACTGTGCAAGCACACTGTTTGTTGGAATAAGATGAAAAAATCTATTGCAGAAATTTTAACTTGACTTGGGCACTTCCCAAAAATTAGGTTCTTCCAAACTGATACGGTTCAGATTTTTGAGAGCCGTGCTTAAAATGACCGTTATTGTACAAGAAATAAATTCAAACCAAAAAACCCCAAATAATTGAGAAATTCCGCCAGTCATTCCTATCTGATCTATGTAGAGCATGATCCAGCACAAAATGTTGCTGATTCATCAACAAGAGCAGTAACAGTCATTGAGAATGTTAAATAGGAACGTAAAATTTGCTGACTACAGTGTCGTAAAATCAAGTTCTCTTGCGTTGGCCGGGAATCAAACCCGGGTCAACTGCTTGGAAGACAGCTATGCTCACCACTATACCACCAACGCTTGATGTTTACTAGTTCCACCGACACCACAAGACATACGGTCACATTTTCAGACGAGCTTCCTGATCTCTCAAGAACAGTCGCCTATTCTCAGTACACATTTCGCTGTACTTTGCAAGCACACTGTTTGTTGGAATAAGATGAAAAAAATCTATTGCAGAAATTTTAACTTGACTTGGGCACTTCCCAAAAATTAGGTTCTTCCAAACTGATACGGTTCAGATTTTTGAGAGCCGTGCTTAAAATGACCGTTATTGTACAAGAAATAAATTCAAAACAAAAAACCCCAAATAATTAAGAAATTCCGCCAGTCATTCCTATCTGATCTATGTAGAGCATGATCCAGCACAAAATGTTGCTGATTCATCAACAAGAGCAGTAACATTCATTGAGAATGTTAAATAGGAACGTAAAATTTGCTGACTACAGTGTCGTAAAATTAGGTTCTCTTGCGTTGGCCGGGAATCGAAGCCGGGTCAACTGCTTGGAAGGTAGCTATGCTCACAACTATACCACCAACGCTTGATGTTTTCTAGTTCCACCGACACCACAAGCCATACAGTCACATTTTCAGACGAGCTTCCTGATCTCTCAAGAACAGTCGCCTAGTCTCAGTACACATTTCGCTTAAAAATTTCAGCACACTGTTTGTTGGAATAAGATGAAAAATCTATTGCAGAAATTTTAACTTGATTCTGGGCACTTCCCAAAATTAGGTTCTTCCAAACTGATACGGTTCAGATTTTTTGAGAGTCGCGTTTAAAATGACCGTTATTGTACAAGAAATAAACTAAAACAAAAACTTAAATAATTGAGAAATTCACCAGTCATTCCTATCTGATCTATGGGCACATGTAGAGCATGATCCAGCACAAAATGTTGCTGATTCATCAACAAGAGCAGTAACAGTCATTGAGAATGTAAAATAGGAACGTAAAATTTGCTGACTACAGTGTCGTAAAATCAGGTTCTCTTGCGTTGGCCGGGAATCGAACCCGGGTCAACTGCTTGGAAGGCAGCTATGCTCACCACTATAGCACCAACGCTACAAACAGTACAAACTGTGCAAGCACACTGTTTGTTGGAATAAGATGAAAAAAATCTATTGCAGAAATTTTAACTTGACTTGGGCACTTCCCAAAAACTAGGTTCTTCCAAACTGATACGGTTCAGATTTTTGAGAGCCGTGCTTAAAATGACCGTTATTGTACAAGAAATAAATTCAAAACAAAAACCCCCAAATAATTGAGAAATTCCGCCAGTCATTCCTATCTGATCTATGTAGAGCATGATCCAGCACAAAATGTTGCTGATTCATCAACAAGAGCAGTAACAGTCATTGAGAATGTTAGATAGGAACGTAAAATTTGCTGACTACAGTGTCGTAAAATCAGGTTCTCTTGCGTTGGCCGGGAATCGAACGCGGGTCAACTGCTCGGAAGTCAGCTATGCTCACCACTATACCACCAACGCTTGATGTTTTCTAGTTCCACCGACACCACAAGACATACGGTCACATTTTCAGACGAGCTTCCTGATCTCTCAAGAACAGTCGCCTAGTCTCAGTACACATTTCGTTGTACTTTGCAAGCACACTGTTTGTTGGAATAAGATGAAAAAAATCTATTGCAGAAATTTTAACTTGACTTGGGCACTTCCCAAAAATTAGGTTCTTCCAAACTGATACGGTTCAGATTTTTGAGAGCCGTGCTTAAAATGACCGTTATTGTACAAGAAATAAATTCAAAACAAAAAACCCCAAATAATTAAGAAATTCCGCCAGTCATTCCTATCTGATCTATGTAGAGCATGATCCAGCACAAAATGTTGCTGATTCATCAACAAGAGCAGTAACAGTCATTGAGAATGTTAAATAGGAACGTAAAATTTGCTGACTACAGTGTCGTAAAATCAGGTTCTCTTGCGTTGGCCGGGAATCGAAGTTTGGCCTGGCCCTGCTTGGAAGGCAGCTATGCTCACCACTATACCACCAACGCTTGATGTTTTTCAGTTCCACCGACACCACAAGCCATACGGTCACATTTTCAGACGAGCTTCCTGATCTCTCAAGAACAGTCGCCTAGTCTCAGTACACATTTCGCTGTACAAACAGTACAAACTGTGCAAGCACACTGTTTGTTGGAATAAGATGAAAAAAATCTATTGCAGAAATTTTAACTTGACTTGGGCACTTCCCAAAAATTAGGTTCTTCCAAACTGATACAGTTCAGATTTTTGAGAGCCGTGCTTAAAATGACCGTTATTGTACAAGAAATAAATTCAAAACAAAAAACCCCAAATAATTGAGAAATTCCGCCAGTCATTCCTATCTGATCTATGGGCACATGTAGAGCATGATCCAGCACAAAATGTTGCTGATTCATCAACAAGAGCAGTAACAGTCATTGAGAATGTTAAATAGGAACGTAAAATTTGCTGACTACAGTGTCGTAAAATCAGGTTCGCTTGCGTTGGCCGGGAATCGAACCCCGGTCAACTGCTTGGAAGGCAGCTATGCTCACCACTATACCACCAACGCTTACAAACAGTACAAATCCGCCAGTAAAGCACACTGTTTGCTTGGAATAAGATGAAAAATCTATTGCAGAAATTTTCTTATCCTGACTTGGGCACTTCCCAAAAATTAGGTTCTTCCAAACTGATACAGTTCAGATTTTTGAGAGCCGTGCTTAAAATGACCGTTATTGTACAAGAAATAAATTCAAAACAAAAAACCCCAAATAATTGAGAAATTCCGCCAGTCATTCCTATCTGATCTATGTAGAGCATGATCCAGCACAAAATGTTGCTGATTCTTCAACAAGAGCAGTAACAGTCATTGAGAATGTTAAATAGGAACGTAAAATTTGCTGACTACAGTGTCGTAAAATCAGGTTCTCTTGCGTTGGCCGGGAATCGAATGCGGGTCAACTGCTCGGAAGTCAGCTATGCTCACCACTATACCACCAACGCTTGATGTTTTCTAGTTCCACCGACACCACAAGACATACGGTCACATTATCAGACGAGCTTCCTGATCTCTCAAGAACAGTCGCCTAGTCTCAGTACACATTTCGCTGTACTTTGCAAGCACACTGTTTGTTGGAATAAGATGAAAAATCTATTGCAGAAATTTTAACTTGACTTAAGTAATCTCTCCCAAAATTAGGTTCTTCCAAACTGATGGTTCAGATTTTGAGAGTCGTGTTAAATGACCGTTATTGTACAAGAAATAAATTCAAAAACAAAACCCTAAATACAGAAATTCCGCTAGTCATTCCTATCTGATCTATGTAGATATGATCCAGTACAAAATGTTGCTGATTCATCAACAAGAGCAGTAACAGACATTGAGAATGTTAAATAGGAACATAAAATTTGCTGACTACAGTGTCGTAAAATCAG